GTAGGAGAAGTTACCTAAAGTGGGGTTCACAGGCAAGATCCCTTGAGAGCCCTTCAATGGGTTCATTGAAGTAAGACAATGATCAAAAGCTTCATAATGCCCCTATTGGAGCCTAATAGACTCCCCTCGAAGTAGTCATCAGCTAAAATCTCCATACACTTCTTATGAATGTGAAGACGCTTTGAAACTTTTGAAGTACTGGCAGAAGAAACCTCAAAAACCAATACAGAATTTAAAAAAAAAAAGATGATGAAGCTTTAACCGAATTAGGCTTTCTCTCTTTCCTTCATAGAAGTAATCAGGACTTCTATCACAATCTTATTCTAATTCCATTTAGGAGCCAAGTTCTCTCGACTCTCCTCTTGTTTAGGATTAGAAGTTGATTGAAGAGGCTAGATTACATGGCATGTCTAAAAGATTTAAATTTAAATGTCTTTGAGGTTTCAATGGAACTTGAACTCTAATTTAAAAGGGATAATTGCATGCTAGATCAAGCTTGAAGGTTTGAGAATGTACTTGCAAGCATCAACTTCAATTCACACTCTAGCATAAGTAAGACAAAACTTCAAGCAAGTCAGATTAACAGATTGCCCAGTATACTACCCATGAAACTAGGCCAGCATCGTCCAAAAAATTTCTCAATAAAGATATTCTCCCCCAAAATAATAAGGTCATCTTCAAGAATTTTATTGAGATATTCCCCATTTTCTAAAGTCCTCATCATTATCATCACTGTTCTTCCATAATCTGATGGTTAAAGATTTCAAAAGGTAGAAAGATAATCTTATTTTTCAATGAAGTATTCCACGAAAGTACTCCCCCATTCAGCATGACCTTCGTTTGAAATTTCTAGAGGGACTTTGAACAATACTCATTCTCAATCCTAATAGCTTGCTTTTAAGCATTGAAATTGATCGAAAGGTGCTCTTTGCAACAAAAGTACTCACAAGAAATATGTTTGAAGTTAAAGGTTAGAGAATCACCATCATCTTCGGCATTGCTCAAGAGAATAAGATGAACTGGATGCTTCATAGGGGCCGGTCACAAGTACGTGTCAAAAGATGGGTAACTGGATGATCATGGGTTGGATAGTGCACTTGGAAGTGTGCACTCCATAGTCCACGGTTAGATGATCCCTTCCAATAGTAGCAAAGAGAGGAGGGAAAGCTTCATTGATTTCAAATTTGAAAAGTGAACTTTTGCATCTGCTCCTACAAAATCAATGGTACATCTGCAAAATCTGCTCTGTTCTTGAAGAGAAATTCCACGTGGCAAGGAATAAAAACCAGGTGCATAATGCTCACTCTCCAAGTGTAGAACAACCGAAAACACCATTTCTAGATAGGGAAGCTTCGCCAAGATGAGGGAATCACTATTTTGATGCTCTTTTCTCCCTTTTATGATGCCTTTTCAATAGTTGCTTCATCCTCACCACCATGGTTAGAAGAAGAAGATGCACTACCAATGCAGACACACACTGGTGTAACAAATGTGGTGCCATGTCTGGCATAAGGTAAGAGAATCTGTTTTTGGTCGTATAATTTAATTAACCTTACGCACCATCAGGTGTGCGCTGACTCAAACGAAACTCGGTCAATTCCCTAGGGGCTCGGTTAAGTCTCATGTGATTCCGATTCCCACCAATATATTGATAAATATCAGAATCCAACTTGTACTCCACTGAGTTGCTAAGACTCAGACTCAGCCGAGTTGTTTTTGTTTTTTTTTTGATAAGTCAGACTCAGCCGAGTTGTTGAGTCAGTCGATACGGAGAACTAGCTCAACATAGACGCAACAGAAGTCTCTGGTCTACACTTTACATAAACATCAATTGTCATTGTCCTCCATGTCCTATGCATATCCATGATTGTCCTTCTGAATCATTTTCAACAGCTTCAAACTCATCATGGTGATCAATTTCATAATCTTCATTTCCAGCAAATCATTCTCATTAGAGCCCTTCAAGTTTTTAGCCCTTATTTACTTCTGAAGGTGAATAAACAGTTTTGACTGTTTTGGCAACTACTTCTGCTTCTAAATATGCTTGTGGTGTATGCGAGCAGCTGACGATCCTGCCCCGTTCTCTCCCAACCCGTCTAGCAAAAAACTAAGATCAACCAAAAAACTGGATTTGTGGTTGGATCTCTTTTTTTCCTCTTAGATGGCAGTTTTCCCCATGACTTCACTAATAGTCTTTTCCTTTTCCTTTTTCTTTTTTATTTTATTTTTTTCTTTAGAAAAACTTCAATATTAGTCTACTGAGAATGTAAACAAGTTTCTTGCTATTCCACATAGTTCTCAACCTAACACAAAAGATGCCATCATTGCCGTGGTGGTAGATCGTGCATCAGCTCTTCTGGATGGTTCAACAATTAACTTGTTGTGCATACAAGTTGTTTCATGATAGTATGTTCCTCCAATGATAAGTTGTCTACCAACCTTAGAATGTGTTTTACTAGATGTCCAATAAACTGGAGTAGACAATTTTCCTCGTATTGAGGGGCATGCGCATTGAACATTAGAAGAAGTCAAAGAGCCTATTTAAGTTTTATTTTAAACAAGTGTTATACCAATTAAATATTCAAGGACTTTTTGTCCTTGCTAAATGAGTGTTTGATGTCACTTGGAATACGAAGCATGAAGTCCTAGACATTGACAGAAGGGTTATTACCCAATGTGGTCTCCTAGGAGGGGTGGACCAAAACAAACCTAACCTTTGGCAATACTTGCACAAAGTGGCTGCTCTCAAGGTTCGAATTCGGATTTTCAGGCTTGAAAGCCCGAGCATTTTACCAATGTAAAAATGGAATATTATATTAAAATTGTGACGAAGGAATCTTTGGGAGAGACTAAATGGCAAAAGTTCATCACAAAAGAAACATGATCATATTATAATGAAATACAATAAGTAATAAAAATAAAAGAATGAGTCTCTAGAATATGGAAAAAGAATAAGAAACAAGAGGATTTGGAGAAAGAATTGTGCTGCCAAGCATGAGAGTGGGTAGCTTTCCCTTCTATGTTGTCATCATAAGCTATATGATGAGGCCACTCAAGGCAATATTTGGGTAGCTTTCCCTTCTATTGGTGTAGATTGAAAAATATATATATATCTTTTTATAAGTAAATATATATTAACAAAGACGCTCGAAGGGGAGTGAACCCTTAACAAATCAAACAAAAGACGCAAAAGGCGCCATTACAACAATAAGTTGTCAGCAAAATCCAACAAACTATCCACAAATGGACAATTTCTCCCATTAACCCAAGAATAAAGAGAATGCAAAACATGCCACTTAATAAACCATGTCGGCGCCTCCTTTCCCTCGAAAGATCTCCTATTCTGCTCGAACCACAACCCCCACCAAACACAAAGAGGTGCAACCCTCCTAGCTTTTCTAAACCGGCTGCCCATTGGTCTCCCTCTCCAAGCCTCTAACATATCCACCGTATTCCTTGACACCACCTAATCAACCCCAAACACATTCAGAACCATACTCCAAGCATCCTCTGCCACTTTGCAATGCAACAAGAGATGGTTAACCAATTCGCCCGTCATCTTACACATGCAACACCGAATTTTAAAAAAATGGTATTCAATAGGCCAAAATTAGGAGGCAAAAAACTAGCCTCAAAGTGAGGTGCATAATGCAAATTTGGTCCACCAAGAACCGAATTTTTTTTGGCCATTGTTGGGTGTTGACGATCATTATCATCGTAATCTCTAAAGATGATAAGCTTGTGTTGGATGTACTCCTCAAAACATTGCTTGACATCATTGTCTACAAATGCATTGTCCGGAAAGGCCTGTGAAATCATTGGAGCTGCAGAAGAAGGTCTTTCTTGTTGTGGGGGAGGCGGCATGTACCTTTGACTAATTTTCTTTTGACCTATAGTTTCAGCCATAATGGCTATGAATCTGAGTGTTACCTAACACCAAAAGTTCAAGAACCATAGTTCTTGCTCGAGAAGAAGAGTGAGTAGGGTTGGGTGCATTTGAGAACTAGAGCTTGAGAGCGTATATGGAGAGTCTAGAGAGTGATTGTGAAAGTTTATTGACTGTGAAGGGAGGTTGATATAGGCAAAACTAGTGTGTATAAGAGAGGTTTACAATGTGCAAAACCCTGTGACGTGCGTGTAAGGGTATAAATTCAAGAATTTGAAAGTTTTTAATTGAATTGCACACGTTCTCAAACTCGAATGAACAAATGCATAGAAATTGTATTTTCGTGAATAGTGCTCTCTCGCCTAAGGTGTACCGGTGCATGAAGTAAATGTATCGTTGCACGCTATGCAAAACCTTTTTTTGTATTGATGCATGTGGCAAACTTACTTACCCTTCCACTCAACTTCCAAAATTTCTCTCAAATGTCCATTCTTTCACCTTTTCTCACTCTAACATACCCAAAAATATATCTACTACCAAGAACAAATAAACAACTTTTTGGTATTTTTCAAAATTTTAAACTACTAGTTGCACCTATTATTTATAACACTAACCATTATGGCTGCTATTACCTTTAATTAAGCCCTTACGAAAACTGTAAAATAGATGGCCAGTTCAACAAAATACTCAACTGTGTGCCTCTTCCCTTTGACAAGTGTTCTCTATATCTCACAGGGTTATGAGCCAAGGTGAATGTGACAATCCCATGGACTTAAGTATGTCAGATCTAACTTCCACTAGTACTAATTTCAAGTGAAATATTACCTTCAACTCAGAATAACAATTGCTTCGTGTAAAGAAAACTAATTAGATGAAAGCAGAATAGAAGTTGCAATATTGGATTAATCACTCTTCTGGAACAGCGTAATTTAAGCTTATCAATTCACCCCTCTTCCTTATTTGCAATGCCTTATTAATCCTTAGCTATCGGTCAAAACATTCAAACCAATAACCAATCAGATATACACACAATTTTACAAAAACACACAATTCCCCAAACAATTTTCTTACACACATATGCATAAATAGAAAGAGAGGATATGTATATATATACCAAACTGCCATTAGGGGGTTTGGAATCCTTAGCGTTAGAAGTGTTGTCGCTGCTGTTGGTTTGAGCTCTCAAAGCGAATCTTCTTCCACTGATAAATATCTTTCTTGGTAAGCTGATCGAAGAACACAGCGGATCAGTTCGGCATGAGACGAGGACCGGCGGAGCAGACGAAGATTGCGATAAGAGTGATGGCTTCACTCTCAACGATGACATTTGCAAACCCCAGGAAAATTATAAACAATCCTCGTTCCTTAAAAACCCTATCATACACGTTTTAAAAAATATAAATAGTAAATGGATATCTCCTCTTTGGAGTGGGGGTGTAAGATATAGGCAGTTCCCACGGATGAGGGTTTAGCTTTTGGAGGCGCGTTGATTTTTACTCCTTTACACAAATGACCACGTTAGGCCCGCAATGCCCCCATTGCTCCAAAATTTACACCTTCCCCCCTCTAAACCAGCCGGCATTTTGTTCGGGTAAATTCTTCAGGTTAAGTTACTACAATACCCTCTAATATTTTATAAATATGACATGAAAGGAATATGTTTATAAAATTACTATATTACCCAAATTGAGTCTCGATGAAAGGAAAAAAAAAAATTTATATTTGGTCATTCCAAATCGAGGGCATAAAGAAGATAGAGAGAGGAAAGTGGTCAGCAGGCCATTAGTAGTGAAGGGCTTTCATTCGATCTCTCCGATGAGGTTGTGCGAAGACAGTGAAGATTGACCTTTTGGCGTGCGTGAGAGGTGTCGCCAGAAGCTACTATGTGGAGGTAGACGTTGGAGGAACGTGGTGGAACAAGTTTGAGCCCTAAATTTGCAAACGATGAAGGTAAGAGCAGAGCCACCATCTTCATTGCTTCCACATACGATGGACATAGCCACCATCTTCACCACCACCGCGATAGCCGTAGCCACCATCACCTCCACCGCCGCGACACAAACACTGATCATACTCCCCTCCTCTACCCCAAGGTCATCATTGCCCCGACCTGGAGTCTAACAAGGTTCGACAGAGTCCTGTTATTCAGAGACAACTCTACGATCAGATACCTGTTGATGCTTATTATTATGTCATTCAACGGCAACTTCTTTGTCGTTGAAGATAACTTTGAACATAACAAAATACTACGGATGCAATCTTTTAGAAAATATTTTTTTGATGCTCAAGAACATGTTAAAATATCACTATGGAAAATATTAGCATTCTTAGCAAAACTTATGTTAAGCAATATTTACCGTCTATATATTTTAGGAAAACATGTATATAAATATATATATCTCGTATATATTTAGTAGAAAACCCTAGAAACTTAATCTAAATATAATATGTATAGTTTTATCATGAAAATTATTTTTCCAATATATATAAAATACCATAGGAATTATCATTCACCCAATAGCATATGATCATGTATAATATGTATGCATGCACCTAAATGGTGATAAATGAAATTCAAGTATGATTCTTACTTTTGAAACTCATACTTGGGAAAATTACATCTTTACCCTGAAAGTTAATCGTCAGGCTATTCTTCCCCTCATGATAGACCCTTAGACTATTTTTCCTTTTGATGGTTCTTATACTATTTTTCCCTCAGAGGTAGAACTCTAGGTTATTATGCCTTTGTAGTTGTTTTAGGACTATTTTGCCCATTGAAGAAGAACTTTGACTAAATTGCCCTTTTTATAGTAATTCTTTGACTAATTAGCCCTTTGTTGAAGATCTTGGACCTTATTATGCTTTTAATGTAACTTTCTTCAAGCAAATTTATCTTCACACTTAAATCATCTAACATATTCTATTTATATCTCTCACTAACCATATAAACAATAAGTTACAAGAATGAGTTTTGTATTACGAAATTTGTCAATTACAATATTAGAATTGATAAATTCTTAACATGGGTTGTGATTAGTGTGACCATGTAATCTCAAGCCATGTAATACTTTCTCATATTCCATAATTGAAATGAAATTAGGCCCATCCAAGGTCACAATTTCCAGCATGATTGGTTGTTATGAGTTTCACAATTAGTAAAATATAGTAAAACATATATGTTTAGATAATAATTAGTATAATTTGATTGTGTTTTACTCAACGTTTAAACCGATTGACATGGAAAACAAATGTGGTGTAGATGTAAAGCCCCAAATTTCGTGATCCGATGCATTAACCCAGATAACTAAAACCCGGCCCTATATCAAGTCCAAAATGCGGAAGCAAAAATAAGGGAAGAGGTCATTGGAGGTAAAAAACCACCTCTAGGACAACAAAAGAGCCTCATAAGAAGCCACCAGACTCAACTAGAAGGTAATTGCGGAAGCGAAGGTCAAAACGGACATAATCCGGTAACAACGATAAAATGGTCATTTTACCCAATGAGGAGAAAATTTGACTCTAAACAATTCAAATGAGGTTTAATCAATTGAATCTAATCATTTCATGACAACCCAAAAGGTTCTAAGGCCCTTAGTCATGGTTTCCCACAATTACCACCGCCCGGTCAAGTGATTTTCCTACACTATCCCACTAAAATATGTATATCTCTCTATAGGATTAGAATCTTGAATTGATATTGATACCATTGGAAATATGACTCAAAATTCTTTAATCTAGACTCAGTAATTACCTAATTTGGATTTAAAATGAGCAAGTTATGACTATTGCAAGTTCGGATGAAAAAGTTGGCCAGCAAAAAAACAAATGGACGACCGATAGCAACTATAGATGACTGGTCATCCAACACCCTAGAAACTCATGAGCGCAAGCTACACGCATAATGACGCACACGCATGGCAAGTGACGACCGGTCTTAGATTGTGGCTACCAGTCGTCCAAACCAGAACATTATGGTGAATAGTAACCGAAGCAAAAAAATATGAAATCTAAAGTTAGTACCTTGCTCCCCTTTGCCCAAAAATGATCCCCAAGGGCTTTAAGGTCAATCCCAAGTAAAATAAAGCATGAAATGTGATAAAAATGTGTAAAAGATTCTAAGCATACATTGAGATATAAGGTAATACATTAAACATACATTGGAAAGTAATGGTCATTGGGCTCATTACATTACATCAAATGAATCCCAAGATACAATTTGCGTAAAAGAGATTACATTGGCATTTATAAAGTACATTGTACATGTGACGGCCTAAGTTTTTCAACCCGGTGCGTTAGTAATGAACCGAAAGTGATCCGATAACGAATCCGAATTGCGGAAGCTAAAGGTAAACCAAGGTCTCTAGAGATAAGAGTCATTCCTAAGACACAAACGTGACCCTCCATGAGGTCACGAAAGGACAAAAACGGAAACAAATGTCAAAAAGGATAAAATTTGCTATCCAAGGGGCAAAAAGGTCAATTCACTATTAAAAGGAGAAACTTGACTCTAAACAAGTCAAACAAGGTTAATACAACCTAATCTAATCATTTTGAAACATTCCAAGAGGTTCCATAGACTTTGGCTAAGAATCCCACAAAATGCCTCGTCCCGGTTGAAGTGAAAACTGACATTGCTTCACTAAAACATACATAACTCTCATTGTGTTTGGAATTTGAGAATGGGATTAGTACCATTGGAAATCTGACTCAAAATCCTTGAGTTAAGGCTTAAGAATCACCCCATTTGGATTAGAAACGAAGAAGTTATGACCCGTTGAAGTCGGATAATCAGTGCTGAAACTCAATAGAGGCAAGGCTCGGGTTCTAGCTATTTCGGTCGACCGAAATGAAGTTTCGGACGACCAAAATGAAGATGCTGAGACCTGAAATCATGAAGAAAAGGTTCCAATTGCTTCGGTAGACCGAAATAAAGGTTCGGTCGATCGAAATGACCCTTAAACAGTGTTTTTGGCTACTGGAATTTGATGTTACTGTGCAAACACAAAACCATTTGATATCGGTCGACCGAAACACCACAAAATCCTGCTGCTGAACCTGCTATGAGCCTAAGGTGTTAAGGTACTACCTCAACTTGAATCCCATGATGTTTTAATTCAAAATGAATGCACAAAACTGATTGCTTAATGAAAAATGGATATGTGAACATGCTAACATATTTGCTATAGATATTTGAGTACAAAATAATGGCCTATGGCCTCATACACATCATTTACAAGATTTTGACCTCTCAAACTTTAAATTTTGATTAAAAGACATATAAAGCAAAAATTTGATACAAAAAGTGTCTAAGTACAAAATAGACATGTTTGTCCCTTGGCCTCATTACATACATGCTTCTATTGTCAAGAGTGATTAATTAAGCATCTTTACACATCAAAGAGGTTACATAATCTTCAAAAGTACCATACATACATGGTATACAAAATTATAACTTCAAAAGTTAAGCATACTAAACACTTGCATGTTAATATACAAAAATGCTTCAACAAGCTCAAAAGCTTCTAAGGATGATAAGCATCCATGAACATAGTTTCTTTACCTGAAAAACAACCTAAACCACTAGGGTGAGTAATCAAGTTACTCGTAGGAGAAACATATGCGTATACCCTAAAGTTTCAATATCGTTGCAAGATCAATATAGACGAATACAAGGGATCATTCCACTTAACGTCTATGTTCAAGGTGTTCTAAGGGATCATCTTAAACTAACTTAAATGATTCTTTAGCAATACAAATAATTATCAATGTACTCAACAACATCAATTCACCAATAACAAGAATTTCAAACTACAATTAAGCATTGGTTGTCAACTTGAAATTTAATGCGAAAACATGTAATGGAAGACTTGGACATCACGTCTCGGACTTAACCAAGATCAATACGGTTATTCTGGGCATTAACCCACTGGAAGACCACCCTAGTACGCACTATCTCAATTGGGGAGAACTCATACCTCCCGCACTAAAGCCGAACTTTAGCCATGTCACATGTAACAATGTCCCAAGAGATTCCAAAATATATATCAAGTTCAAAACTTATATATATATAATAAGGCATACAAACCACCTTCCATGCACAAGTATTTTGAAACCAAGCAAACCATGTCTTAGGGTTCCAAGTCTAGAATGGCATGCCAAATGACAAATTCACATCATGATATTATGTACAATACAATATCACAAATTTACAAATTCGAGTCATGCCTCAATAACAAGCTCTATATACTAATTATCAACATCATAGCAATAAGCTCTTAAATAATTACAATTAGTAATTCACAAGGGTATAGAATTATTATAACAATAAATATAGCAATTCATATCAATAGAGATTACATATAACATCAACAATTCTACAAGTGTCCCACATCACTAACACATGTGAAATTTCTAGAATTTAGCATGCTAC